ACCCCCTTCTCTGGGGTGAGGGTCCCTCTTAAAGGCAGGGCTCAAGGATTAGCTGCTAGTTTTGGAAGCCCTGTGCATTGACTGAAGTGACAACAGGGCACATGGGGAGGAATCACTAGAAACTCAGGCAGCTCAGAGAAACAGGGCCTCTGCTTCATTGCTTTTGACTCTCCCAGGATCCATGCAGATTCCTGGGGACCCCAGGATTTAGGCGCTGGCCCTACAGCCTGTTCCACAGAGGAGCAAACCCTGCCCCTTCCCGCCCGCCCGAACAAGTGGGAACCTTGTAGAGATTTCCTCCCCTTTGTCCTCTCTTGTAGGTTTCTTGTGGAGGGTGGGTCTCTAGTCCCTCTCTAATTAAAGAAAAGATGAACTGAGAATGGGAAACTCCCACACCCATTTCGTTTCTTGTCTCACTGAAAGCATGAACATCAACGCAGCCTTCTTCCTGCAATCACTGTGTGATGAACACTCTGTAAGCAAATCTGCATAGTCAGTAACAAGGAAGGAAGTGCTTCCATTTAAAAAAAATAAATGAAAATGCACTGTAAGGCCTTGGCTACACTTGCAGATGTACAGTGCTGTGACTTAAACCTGACTTCGTGCAGCTCAGTAGGGAAAGCGCTGCAGTCTGTCCACACTGATAGCTGATAGTACTGTCTTGGCCACATTTGCGGCAATTGCAGCGCTATTGGGAGAGGTGCATTATGGGCAGCTATCCCACAGAGCACCTCTTCCCATTCTGGCGCCGTGGGTTGTGGGAAGGGGGCGTGGGTGCCGGGCATTCTGGGTCCTGTCCCAACGCCCCATGATGCATCACTTCGCATCCCAGAAATCCCTTTGTTTCCGTCCATCTTTGGCGCCATTTTTCAACGGTTTCTGTACAGCGTGATCTATCTGCAGGAAATGGAGCCCGAACTGCTGAGGCGTATGCTGACTTATCTTGCCAGCACGTCACGTTTGGCTGTCGAACTATTCCTTAAGATCCAAAGTGACAGTGAGAGTGAGGAGTCCGAGTGGTGGGATCACATCGTCATGGAAGTCTGGGATGACGAGCAGTGGCTGCAGAACTTTTGGATGAGAAAAGCCACTTTCATGGGACTGTGTGAGGAGCTCGCCCCCACCCTGTGGCGCAAGGACACGAGATTGAGAGCTGCCCTGCCAGTGGAGAAGCGGGTGGCTATTGCAATCTGGAAGCTGGCAACTCCAAACAGCTACCAGTTGGTCGCAAACCAGTTTGGAGTGGGAAAGTCGACCGTTGGAATCGTGTTGATGCAAGTTTGCAAGGCCATTAATCGCATCCTACTCAGAAGAACTGTGACTCTGGGTAAGGTGCAGGATGTAGTGGATGGCTTTGCACAAATGGGGTTCCCTAACTGTTGAGGGGCGATAGATGGGACGCACATTCCTATTCTGGCACCACCCCACCTAGGATCCGAGTACGTTAATCGGAAGGGGTATTTCTCTATGGTTCTCCAAGCGCTTGTGGATCACCGTGGGCATTTCATTGACATTAACACAGGCTGGCCCGGAAAGGTGCATGACGCACGCATCTTTCGGAACGCTTGGCTGTTCAGGAAGATGCAGGCCGGGACTTTTTTCCCAGAGTGGAAGATCACGGTAGGGGAAGTTGAAATGCCCATTGTGATCCTTGGAGATCCTGCTTACCCATTAATGCCGTGGCTCATGAAACCCTACACAGGGAACCTTGACAGCAGCAAGGAATGGTTCAACTACAGGCTTAGCCGGTGCCGAATGACTGTGGAGTGTGCCTTTGGCCGTTTAAAGGCCCGCTGGCGATCTCTGTATGGGAAGCTGGACTTGGCCGAAAACAGCATCCCCGCGGTTATATCCGCGTGCAATATCCATAATATTTGTGAAGGGAAGGGTGAAAGCTTCACTCAAGCATGGACCTCCGAGGTTCAACACCTCGAGGCTGAATTTGCACAGCCAGAGAGCAGGGCTGTTACAGGGGCCCAGCGCGGGGCTGCAAGTATTAGGGATGCTTTGAGGGAGCAATTTGAGGCTGAAAACCAGCAGTGATATCTGGTGCCCTGCACGGGAGTGAAGTGCAGTAGTTCCAATCTTGTGTTTGCTAAGCAGACAAGCAGACTTCCAGTGCCTGTTTATTTCCTGGGCTAAGGAGTCTTTTACTTTATGCAATAATAAAGAATGTTTTCAAAGCCAAAAAATCCATTTATTGAAAAGAAACAAGGGGGTGGAGTGGGGAATGGTACAATCACAGATTCGCGTATGTCCTGTCTGGAGTGCTGTGCAGTGAGTGCTGCATTTCAGGATAGCTATACTGCATGGTGATGGGGGTTGAGTGCAGAGGGTAAGGGTCATGGTTTTCAGGGCTGGGTGGTAAAGATACTGGTGTTGGAGGCAGCGG